TTGGGGAAGTTTCAGTACACAAGAGTTTCTAAATTACTTTGGTTTTCTAAAAATTTGGTTTTCTACTCTTATTTATTATTTTTTAATTTTAATTCTGGTCTTTTAAATGCTAATTTCTCAAATTCCAATTGTTTAAATTTCTTTTTAGTAATTCACCATATTTAGCATTACTTTTGGTTTTGACTTTTACCCTTGCCTATATGGATGACGAAACACGAATTGAATGATTGAAGAATTAGGTTTGGAGGCAACTTTCCCTTGATAAGTCTGTCTCCTGCCTGCTAAACAATCATTCACTTATGCATTTTTATAAATAAATTTTTTAGGATTAAATAATTTTTGGAATTTTATATTTATTAATGGATTTTGATACTTGCACTTGATTTAGATATGATCTCAGAATTTATATGATATTGTAGATTAGTTCGCAACAATAATTAATCATTTATTTGTTTGCATTAAATTTCATTTAAATTTATTAACTTTAATTTGCTTTCTATGAATAGAGAATATATGTATATAAAAACATGCACACATACACATACATACGTACATACATAAAAAAATGCAGGTTTATAAACAGAAAAAAAAAATTAAACATTTATAATTCTTTTCATTTAATGTCTTGATCTGCAGTTTTCCTCAAAATTGTAATTTGTTAACATAATCCCCGTCTAAAGCAAACAATTACCATTACAAGTTGGATTACTTTCAAAATGCTAACATATACCTTCTTCAAAAACTCCGAAGAGTAAATTTTTTATAGTGATTGATACTTTTACAACGGACACTAATCAGTTCATCTGATGATTCTCCGCAGGTGTGGGGGTAAAAAAAAAACTGCTTAAAGCTTTCGGTGCATTCAGTGAAAGAAGCATTCCACACTTTTCAAAAGCTTTGTTGACAAAGCTGCTGTTGCTTTAGGAAACAATACCTTCTCTTTCTCAAACCTCAGGGTGTGAGAGGTTTAATGTGTTTATCTCAATCACTGATCAGTAGAGATTTAAAAAATCAACACTCTTCTGATAGTTAAAACAAAAGTAAAAAATTTAATCATCATCCTTGTATATACTGAACTCTTTCCAGATAGCAACATTACTCTCATGTAAATAAAATTATAGTGCACTGCAAGACACTAATGATAGGATGATGAAAACAATATTTAACTAAAAAAGATCACTTTTTAAGACAAATTTGTAAGTTCAAAAACTTAAAATTAATGAAAACGTTAGTAATCTTGTTCCATGCACATACTAGAAAAAACGGTAAAAATATATTTGCGAAAATTGGCGATTTTCGGGGTATATGGATACCGAGTTTGTGCAATTCTTTGAGTTGTTATTTTGGCTTGTGTAGTGGCAATTTTTGGGCACAAAGCAAAAATAACAAGACAAAGAACTGCACAAACTCAGTATCGACCTATTTTCACTTAAAAAAAAAAAATCAGAGAATTACACAAACTAGGCATTCCACACTCCCCATGCACACATTGAACTATATTCACTTAAAAAGTCGAAGGAGCGGCCAACAAAAAAAAAGATATGTAATCTCAATGAACTACATTTTAAATCAAACAATAAAATAACATAAAAATCTTTGCACTACACAATGGAAATATCCACTTGCCTTACTTACGAATTAACATGTCTTCAGTTACACAAAATTTCTTAACAGCATCCAAAAACTTCCTAAAATTATTTGAACTAGAATCTGTATACTGATGTCGTCAGATAAATTTACAAAATAAGGGTTAAAAATATTGTCCGTTGCGACGTTCGACTGTATGCATGTCTAACGTTCGACCATATGCATTTCCTTCCTACAAACAGGACATCTTATAATGGCTACTAAGTAAACTTTCATTTACACACCGGTCAAGTAATGCTCTTTTCCCCTTTCTTTCCAAATTGTACAGAAACTTTTGAAAGTAATCCGATTTATAATTAATCTTACCTCATTCAGCCATTTTACCGTCTAAACCATAAAACAAACAATGTACTTCCTAACCAACACACACACACACCACAAGCCTTTACCGCAATCATGCAACCGATTACGTCATAATAGGGTTTCCATAACATTCAACTACTCAGGCTACCATAAATGAAACAACTTCGCAATAATACAAGGGACACCCTTCTCTCTACTCTAACCAAAAAAAGTTTTCAGCACAGATGAATAATTTTGGCAATATAATTAATAGACCTTCCAAAGTTTTGGCAATGTATATATACTCCTTCAATCAATTGTGATGACAGATACAATAGCTTTAGTAGCCTAAGTCTCCCAGAAATTATATAGTTACTAAAGAAAGAACTTAAAGGTCCATTACTGAATTGGCTACTCTGTTTGTTCCTCCCTACCTGGCTGAAAAATACAATTTTTAAACTGTTGCCCAACCTAATCTTAAAGATTTTGGCTGATCTAACATTTATAATCAAATTACGAGTTTCTATTTTTCGTAGCTTTAGAAGTCATCCAGTTTCATTTTAGTATTGAAAGATTCCCTCAAGAGAAGATTCCAAGGGTCTCTCTGCCCTTCCTTCCCTTACACCAGGCTTTTGAGAGGACATTCAGCTCAACAGCATTTTACATACTCCCATGCTGCAAAAACATTACACACTTACAAACATTCATACTTCCTATAAGATTGAAACTAAACCCAAGACTATGACAGCTGGCTCTCATAACGCCATACCAAGAAAATAATTTATTGTATTTTTTTGGGGAGGCATGGAGATACACATTAAAAATGTCTTCTGGTAAAATGATAATGAGTTACAAAAATAAGATAAACCAAGATTTTAAATGCACAAGGATTAGTAAGAAATTAGATCTAGAATAACAACAAACGACTAAGGAATTCATGAATACACGGACCAAAAAAAATGGTAAAATCCCATGAGAGCCCACAACCTTGGCGACAAACTCGGAAAGTGCAGAATTACCCACTGCTTTGCGCGTTTCTCAAAACCGTTACTTGAAAATAACAAGTCGAAGAATTGCACAAACTCGGTATCCATGTACACATCGACCTATTTTCACTTGAATCAGAGAATTGCACAAACTTGGTATTGCACACTCCCTTGGCTTTGTCCACCTGCGATATAAGTGGGCGAGCCAAGGGTGTGGGCTCTGCTAGGATCCAACCAAAAACATTTATGAAAATGTATCCCACATACATAAATGAAAGCATTCTGGACAGGAAAAAGATAACAAAGAACTGACATTTGAGTCCCATGGGTAAATGAAAGCATTCTGGACAGGAAAAAGATAACAAAGAACTGACATTTGAGTCCCATGGGTAAATATAAAACATTGAGAACATGCGAAATTCAACGTACCAGCAAAAAAGTGACAAAAATTTTGTTCACTGCATTTAATAAAGCATTAAAGCTAACTCTACATACATACAATATAATTTTTTAAGAGTCATCGCAATAAAATGTATTATTTTCCAACATTCGTGCCAATTTTTTTATAAAAAAAAAAAACAAAAAAACTAAGTTGTCATATTTTTAAGTGGTATGAAACTTCTGAATCAATAACAAATGTATAAATTTTCTGAAATTTTATAAAGTTTCAGTTAGCCAGAGATTTCTTTGAAACGTTATGTTTTAGCACTATATGCCTGTACAAATAGCATTGATGCATTATATAATTGTATATAGCCCTGATGAAAAATTATCAGCTACACGGTTAGAGTAGACACTTTAAGGTATCCCTTGTATTATGGGGAAGTTGTTGTTTCTTTTATCGCCAAGTTGTTATGGTAGCCTGAGTAGTTGAATGTTATGGAAACCCTATTGTGACTTAATCGGGTGCATGATTTTGGGAAATTTTGAATCATGGGATGTTTTGTAAGCGCTTTTGTGGTGTGTGTTGGTTTTATAGTTTAGACGGTAGAATGGCTGAATGTAGTAAGATTAATTTGAAGTTTCTGTACGATTTGGAATGAAAAGGGAAAAGAGCGTAATTGACTGGTGTATAAATTGAAGGTTTACTTAGCAGCCATTATAAGTGTCCTGTATGTAGAAAGGATATGCATCTAGTCGAACGTAAAAACAATCGTTTAGATGGATTTGAATGGGTTTGTAGGAAGAAAGGTTCAGATGTGGCAATGCCGATATATGGATTCGAGTTGATAATTTTAGAAAGTTTTTGGATGCTGTTAAGGAATTTTGTGTGCCACAGACTAGACTAAGGAACTTCTAAATAGTGAATATTTGCTTTTTGTAGTTCTTAAATGTATATGTTTTTCCTTTTTTATGTTATTTTATTGTTTCATTTAAAATGTAGTTTTTGAGATTTTGTTTTTTGTTTGTATTGTAGGATTGGGTGCTCCTTTGACTTTTTAAATGAAAATATATTGATGTGTACATGGACAAAGTGAAGGGAGTGCGCAATGCAAGTTTGTGCAATTCTTGGATTTTTTTTAAGTGAAAATAGGTCGACCTGTACATGGATAAAGTCAAGGAAGTGCACAATGCCATTTTTGTGCAATTCGTGGATTTTTTTTTAAGTGAAAATAGGTCGATGTGTACATGGATACCGAGTTTGTGCAATTCTATGTCTTGTTATTTTGGCTGCCGTTATGCAAGCCAAAATAGTAAGTCAAAGAATTGCACAAATTTGGTATCCATGTTCCGCCAAAAATCGCCAGGTTTCGCCAAGGGGTACCCTAAAATATACTTTTACCAGCTACACTTCTTAAATCATTTTTATTGGAAAAGAAGGAAAATTTTACACAAACAAAAACACTGCTGCACTACAACATACAATATGATGATTAAAGACTATTAAGAGTTTTCACTTGAGATGTGTTGCAAAACAATTAACATCTATTTTTTTATAGAAAACAAAATATAAATTACAATGAAAGTAAAATTTCTAGAAACTATGAAATTACTTCGTACAGAAAATTAACAAGTTGAATAAATCTGACATATTGTAATGCTTAACAAAACAAACAGAAATACGATTGAAATACACTTTCTTACATTTCTTCTTCCATTATCAACCTGTCTTCGAAAGCATCAATTCAAAATTTTCAATCTCGATAAAGTTTCCTACAGCTGTAAGAAAATTGCACAAGTTTACTATGAATTTGAGCAGTTACACAGCCATTACAGACTAGATTGAGCTTTGCGCTATAGAAGCGTCGCGTTATTCACAGGGAATCTTCTTGCTCATCCCACTCAAAACATCTCTCTCATTGGCCTCAATGAATGTCAATCACGTATGACATTGAAAATGAGGGATTTTTACATTCTAATTATCTTAATAATGAAAATCCATTGGCGATTTCTTGTTCAGTCCAGATGTCCACCGTTCTTTTCAAATCCTTTGTTAATCAGTTCTTTAACTAACACGAAATTCTCCATAACCTACTCATTCTTATACTCTATAATGGTGTGGGACATCAGGGTACCTGGGCTACTACTACTGGGGTCTCGCTAAAAAAACTTTAAAATTCTGAAACAGGTTGTTGCAAAATAACTTAGTTAGCTATAAAAGTTTGTGCTGAAGTAAATAGTCAAGACTGAAGCCCAGTACATAATTCTCACGAGCAGAAACAGGAAAATAAATTACACTCCAAATAAGTGCTAATAAGATAGTACCACAGTTTTATGAATACCCAAAATATCTTCGAAAGTCAGGAATTTGATTTACAAAACAAATAATATACACTTTAACTGAGTATTCGTCAAGATTGCTAAACTCCTCTTAGCCTTTACAAAAAGTTTTTGTCATATGGTAATAACGAATAGAAGTTTTAGCTCTGCATGCATTCTGTTGTTGCGAATATACCAGGGGGAGTTTGTAATTTGCCGTAAAACATGTTGATGGATTGTTTGGAGTTGCTTACGATTTGTTTTAAGTGGTGCTAGAACCCAAAACCTTGTAAGATCTAGAGGCCCCAACTTGTCAGCAAACTGTGGTAGTGACTGCTACTAAGTGTGAATTTACACCGAAACGTAAGAAGGGTTTAAAGCCCTTTTTATTCAACTTTTAAAATAACAGATGCGTCCACTTGACGCTCACAAACTACGCCGACCCGGCGGTTTAACTGAAACAGAACGTAGAACTGAAAAATAATGACTGGATGAATAAATAGCGAGATCACTATCCACGAGGCTCTGAGATCTTAAACTAACCTAACCGCGTTCTAAAATTACCGCTGAGATTCAGCGAGCTTACTGATTAAGCAGTTGAAAGATTTAGCAAAAACTGCCAAGCTAGGCACACAGGCCGACACGTGCTGTTCTAACATTTCTACCGAGCAATATTCACGTTCGCGATTCAAGTAGCACACCTACAATCTCGTTTCCTTTCTATTTAAGCTCAACTTACTTCTGCTAAATTTGAATATACTGCGCGCTCTACTACAATTTACATACTCTAGCATTGGCAATTCTAGGGCAAAGTAAAGGCTAGACAGGAAAGATAACTTAAAATAAATGTTAGTTAAAATAAATATAAACCCTACATTTGCCGCTGCCAGAATTTGGCAAACTAGGAAGCAGGTCCTAGAAACGACCTGTTGAAAAGTTTCCACATTCTAACCTAAGATTCAAGAGCCCCGTTTACACAAAACAAACTTTTGCCTAACAAAATTTTGCAATAATTTTTGTAGACGATTACAATACAATATCTTCTTACAGGATCCTCTCTGCTATCGTTCTTCATCATTCAATCTTTTTCTCTTCCTTCCAGCATTTGGAAGGAATAAGTATCAGTATATTCCAAATACATTATGATTTACACTTTCTAATACTCGGCAGGATTTTAGTTTTTGATCATTTCCTTTTCCTTATTTAACTGCTTAAATTCACATTCATTCAAATATTCAAATATGAATTTAACTTTATCCTGGTTCTCCACCATGTGTGGTGTCAAACGGGAATCTTCATGTTTTTGTATTTCAACACTTTCCCTAACCACAATGATTTGTTAGATTTCAATCGACCAATCATGACACACCCTATTCCAACATACTGAAACTCGATGAGCTATGTTTAACATTCTTAAATTCAAGTGTGGGTGGAGAACCCTAAAAACCACATTCATTCTAATTTCCCCCTCATTCATCTTTAGACATGCAGGCTTTCGCTCTAAAGCATGATTTTATCTACAGTTTAATACTTAAATTCGAATTCATTGCTTTTAAGCATTTACTTTTAGCATCTAAAATTTGATGCTTCTAGACTAAATTCTACTTTTACATAACTTTCAAGTATTTACCTATGCTTACAAAATTCTAATACATATGATTTTTACAATTTACAATAAGATGAATAAGAGAAAATAAAATTTTACTTCACGCTTTCTTCGCCAAGCTGGCGGCACTGAAACTAAATTTTCCATTAATACAATACGAAGCTATTTTACTTTCGGCCAAATTTTGGCTTTAACATAACAGAACCAGTCTTTCAACCAACACAAACTGCTTGTTCTTATAAATAAAGAAAACAGTTCTTCCGGATATATCGGTAATCCATTCCAAATCCTTGGACGTATATCAAAAGAATATTCCCATTCAGAAATAAAAGGAAAATATAATTTGGTCTTGTAAAAAAATTATTGTAATTATTATAAAGCTGTTTAATACTAAAACACTAATGTTGCCGGTGAAATATATACAGGGTGGTTATAAAAAACTCTTCCCATATATGAATCCCCTAGCGACATATCTGCTCAAGTAGTCAAAATGAAATTTCGGATATTCTCATCAGAAGTTATGAGCTTCGGATTGAGATGATTTAAAATAATATACATCTTGCTAATGTAAAACTTTAGCATTGTAAAGGGTCAATAGCAACACAAGATTTTTTTAGGAGAGCTGAAATATGTTTTTTTATAACTAGAAGATTTCAACGTGCCCACTTTCGCAGATGAAAACACATTGCATACAGGAGACTGTTGACAACAATGACGAGCAAATCATTGGGAGAGGAAAAACTGTTTAACTTCACGTTTCTGGCATCTTTCAATTCTGGCAAATCTTGTGGATACCTTAGATTTCAGAAACCCCAGAATCAGAAATTCATCGGATTGAAGTAGGGGGATAGTGGAGGCTATTAAACTGTAAAGTTACGGGAGATAACTCTATATTGAAACGTACACGTTGAAAACTTTTAATTCTATTAAAAGATCTTTTCCCTCCTCTCCACTCTTCTCTTGCCATTGGTTCTTTACAATGTTCTAGCCGGCGATTTTTGTCTTACGTGTATCGTTCTAACTCCTTTATGGTTTTTAAATGCACTGATTAATTTGCTTGGGAAAAGGTGGTGTTGCCATTCGAAAATTTCGATATATTTTCACTCTAACTGTAACCATGAGAACTCTATTATTTTAAATCATCACAATCTCGAGCGAATACCTTCAAATAACAATACGTGAAAATTCATTTCGGTCGGCTGAACGGATAGTCCTCTATGTTTTCATAAATAGGGGGAGTTATTTTATGATCACTTAGTATTTCATATAAATCTATTAATTTCTATCCAGATCAAGAGCGATTTTTAACATGCTTCTGACGTGTCTGATCTGTGACTGGTAATCGATTGCAACCTCTTCGCAAAGTTAGTCTACTTAATTTAGTCTTTATTTCACAGTCTTAGACACCGTCTCATTCGGCATACGGTATACAACAGTAAAGTACTGGGTAGGTATGTCATCTTCATTCTTTTCAACAGTCTCTTGCTTCACCTTGCTGATACTAATAATTGTATTCGTTGATTTACTCTTCTCATTAAATTTCCTAAAACTCATGTTAACGCATTTACAAAGCATTTACGTGAATTAACATAAAATAACTTGAAAATCCAGAATTGTAGAGCGGGTTATTTACTGAATAGTAACAACAGAAGTATTGAGGCTCATGTCCGTGGTAGTATTCTCTCTTAATAAGTGCAAATGTGTATTGTCGCACAGTCGTGACTTATCGAACTCCACTCGTATTCCAAAAACGCTTTTATACCAAACAAAAATTTTTACATACAAGCAGGGCATATACCAGATCGGACATATTTCAAAATAGACGTATTTTGAGGTACTCTTGTACTTTCAGATAAAAGATGTTTTGAATGACGGAAAGATACGAAATCTGAACATTTTTTCTCCCTCTGTGCTTCTAATTAGAATATTTATAGTTGTTATAAAAATCATTTCGAAAAATTTGAATCTTTTCTATTACATAAATTGGCCAAGATATTTGATAAGAAAGTTGGAAATCATATTCAGGGCCCGCGCACATATTGAAGGTAGCAGGTGAAAATGTTTCCATTTGTACTTAACTAAAATTAAAATAACACTTAAAAGTGTCTTCTGACGTAAGAGATAACGTAAAAATTTTTTGTATGCAGAATTTGTGAAAAATATTGATCAATATAATTTTTTAAAAGATCATATATACAGAATCTTATTAAAAATTTGTATTCTAGGAAACGTTTTTAGGCTTCAGTATTGCCACAGAGCCAACTTGTAATATGATTTGCATTCATTAAAAATGAAAAGTATTTGCACTTTGATGATTTTTTTACCATTACCGTATTATGATTCTAAAGTAATAAAACATCAAAAGAATATAATTTTTTTTTTTTTTTTTTTTTTTTTTTTTTTTTTTTTTTTTTTTTACATTGAAAGCTTATAAAATGCTTCAGTGAAAATATTTCTGGCATACAAATTATAATAAAGAAGCTAGGAAATCACAAAAAATACCAATAAATGTGTTTAAGGAGAAAAATATCAACCTTGAGGTATCTTAATTTCTTTATTAACTGACCCTTAATCAAATTCAAATGAATTCAAATATAGTAAATTTTGAAATTAAATATCTCGATCTACTCTTTTCGTCCGAAAATTAAAATTTTTGTGGCTTGCTTTTTATAAAGAATCTAAATTTTTCAAAATATAAATATAGAGACCTAAATATTTAGGTTTCATATTTAATAAAAAACTAGTTTTATATTTAAAAAAAACGAAGACGTATCTTTGTGTCATTTAAAAAATAACAACGATTACAAAAATAAAGGCCGGGGAAAGATGGAATTTGTCGACTTAGTGTATAGTATAAAAATTAATAGATGTAGTATAACAGTTATGAAGTTAATGATTAT